GTAGAGTTTTTTGGGTCTTTAAGGTATAGGATCATGTCGTCTGCAAATAGGGATATTTTGACAGTTTCTTTACCTATTTGTATTCCTTTTATTCCTTCTTCTTGCCTAATTGCTCTGGCTAGGAATTCCAGTACTATGTTGAATAGGAGTGGAGATAGTGGGCATCCTTGTCTGGTTCCTGATTTTAGAGGGAATGGTTTTAGTTTTTCTCCGTTAAGTATAATGCTGGCTGTAGGTTTGTCATATATAGCTTTTATAATGTTGAGGAACTTTCCTTCTATTCCTAGTTTTCTTAGAGCTTTTATCATGAAATGATGTTGGATCTTATCAAAGGCTTTTTCTGCATCTATTGAGATGATCAAGTGGTTTTTGTCTTTGCTTCTGTTAATGTGGTTTATTACGTTTATTGATTTTCGTATGTTGAACCACCCCTGCATCCCTGGGATGAAGCCTACTTGGTCGTGGTGAATAATCTTTTTGATGTGTTGCTGAATTCGGTTTGCCATTATTTTGTTGAGGATTTTTGCATCAATGTTCATTAAGGAGATTGGCCTATAGTTCTCCTTTTTGGAGGTGTCTTTGCCTGGTTTTGGGATAAGTGTAATACTGGCTTCATAAAATGTGTTTGGCAGTTTTCCTTCCCTTTCTATTTCATGGAACAGTTTAAGGAGGGTTGGTATCAGTTCTTCTTTAAAGGTCTGATAGAATTCAGCAGAGAATCCATCAGGTCCTGGACTTTTCTTTTTGGGGAGACTCTTGATTGCTGCTTCAATTTCATTTTGTGTTATAGATCTATTCAGGTGATTAATTTCCTCTTGGTTCAGTTTTGGATGATCATATGTATCTAGAAATCTGTCCATTTCTTTAGATTTTCAAATTTATTTGAATATAGGTTCTCAAAGTAGTCTCTGATGATTTCCTGGACTTCCATGGTGTTTGTTGTTATCTCCCCTTTTGCATTCCTGATTCTACTAATTTGGGTTTTTTCTCTCCTCATTTTAGTCAGGTTTGCCAGGGTCTATCGATCTTGTTTATTTTTTCAAAGAACCAACTTTTTGTTTCATTAATTCTTTGTATGGTTTTTTGGTTTCTATTTCATTGATTTCAGCTCTTATTTTTATTATTTCTCTCTTTCTATTTGTTTTGGGATTTGCTTGTTCTTGTTTTTCTAGGAGTTTGAGATGTATCATTAGGTCATTGATTTGGGATCTTTCAATCTTTTTAATATATGCACTCATGGCTATAAACTTTCCTCTCAAGACTGCCTTAGCTGTGTCCCATAGGTTCCGGTAGGTTGTGTTTTCATTTTCATTGACTTCCAGTAACTTTTTAATTTCCTCTTTTATTTCATCGATGATCCATTGTTCATTAAGTAATGAGTTATTTAGTTTCCAGCTGTTTGCATGTTTTTTGTCTTTACTTTTGTTGTTGAGTTCTACTTTTACTGCATTGTGGTCAGATAGTATGCATGGTATTATTTCTATTTTCTTATATTTGCTGAGGCTTGCTTTGTGCCCTAGGATATGATCTATTTTGGAGAAGGTTCCATGGGCTGCTGAGAAGAATGTATATTGTGTAGAGGTTGGATGAAATGTTCTGTAGACATCTACTAGGTCCACTTGATCTATTGCATATTTTAGATCTTGGATTTCTTTATTGAGTTTTTGTTTGGATGACCTATCTATTGATGATAATGGAGTGTTAAAGTCTCCCACAACTACTGTTAAACAGTCCTCTTGATGATATCCTTTAAAATAATTCACCAACGGCTTGTTTCATGTCTCCTAATTATCAATACTCATCCATTTCATTATCAACCTTGAGTAACTGGTTGAACTTTTGTGAACTTTGTCCCAATTCCCAAGAATCATAATCATCACAAGACTGTTTTATCCCTCTATTCAAAATCTCTGCAAAAGTAACTGTGTTTGTTCATTGGTGACCAGGCAAGAAATAGTGGTAAAGAGGGTTAGTCCAGGGTTAATCCGTGTATACTGGCTTCTACCAATAAAAATTTTTCTGGTAATACTGGGGTTTGAACTCAGGGCCTCACACTTGCTAGGCAGGCACTCGACCTCTTGAGCTATGCCTCCAGCCCCAAAGCTTTTCTGGAAATCTTGAATTTAAGTGTCAGGAAAAAAAAAAAAGAAGGGAAAAAATGACATAGGCCATTCTGCTGGAGTAGTGACTATGTGACGTACATACCCTTGTCCTAAGGGTTCAGGTACAGTTCCTGTTCTAAATCAAAGATTGATAAACAAGTCAGAATGATGAAAGCTCTCACTACCCACTGGATAACCAACAGTACTCTGACCCTATGCCACAGGTGAGGACAGCCCCACTTCAAGAGCTACAGAAAGGGTTGTTTTCTGGAAATGTGCCACAAGAGAAAGTCCTAAGCAACTGTGTTCCAAGTACAAATCCAACCTTGTTTAATTTGATGATAAGATTTTCATCAGAATTCAGGGTATGGTCTTGCTTATAATGAATATAAAAGCAATGCATAAAACTGTGGCAATATTTAGCATTACCCCAAGTGAGCATTTTTTTTTTTGGAGCTACTGTTTGAGGGCCAAGATGGTGGAGGGTAATTGCAGTAATATGTGAAAAATAAAAACATCAGATGTTCAAATTATAAGGGCAAAGGAAGGAAACTGAGGCCTTGCTGAAACCAGCACATGTCAAACAGGTCTTCTGTTTTATGAGTTCATAAAATTTCATTCTCTACTTTTAAATGCAGTTGTATAGTCCAGATGGCAGAAGTGGGAGAGGGAACCTGGGATGCTACTTTAAAATGCTAATTCCTAGCCCCTACCTAGACAGATGCCATGCCTTGGGGTTTGACAAGGTCATCCACATCTCCGGGAGTTCTTCTAGGTGACCTACGTCTGCTATGCCATTTTAGAATCCTTTTCTCTGTTTTGGAAATCTGCTTTTCTAAGCCTTAAGTATAGGTTAAAAGCTTACTATGAACTCCAAAGAAAGTTGGTTACTTTTTCCAGGATGCTGGTCATTTTTACATCACCAATGAATGTATTCTGGTCAACCAGAGCTCAAGATACCCAGTTTTCCTTGGGCTTTATCTGTTGTGTGAGTGTGTGTGTGTGTGTGTGTGTGTGTGTAACAAGGGTCCAGGTGAGCAAACCAGGGATTTAGCAAATTCTCAAGCAAAGAAAGGCCACTAGAAGAAACCACAAAGGCAATGACCCCATGTCTCCTCTGTCTTGACCCTGCTTCATTTTGTAACCTCTTGCTTTTGAGAAAGCAGCATTCATGCCCCTCTTTTGTCTGGATTAGACTCTTTAAAAACATTCATGTGTTTCCACCCTCGTGGTCAGCTTTCCACACAGGTGGGACTGTCTGGGTGTACAGGGTGGTTCCCCCACCCCCTTGATTGGATCTGCCTTTGACTGGGACTTTGTGAACAGGTCAGCCTTCAGTTGCTATGTTCCAGGTATGAGGGAGTTTTATGACTCAGTCTCCGGTGTGTTGGGCTTTGCATGTGAGGGTGTCCTCTTCAGAGCTGAGTCTCTGCTGGGCCCTCTGCATCTCCCTCCATGTTAGCATCAGTTACACATTTAGTTGCACATGTTCACAGCATGTTCCTGTGAACACCTGCTTTCCAGCCTCTCTCTGCCCTCCCCTAGGCTCCACCTCTCCCCCATGATTGCTCACTCCACTTTATCCTGTCCACATAAGTCCCTGTACCTGGAATGTCCTGATCCAGAAGCCTTGAGCCCTGCCACTCTTCCAATACTTTTCTTGATTTTTATTTTAACTAAACTTGGAGTTGTGCTACGTGTACAGCACACGTTTGTGGACTTCTCTCTGCTCACGGACATGCTCTGTTCTCTCTCACATGCCCACCTTCACAGGGACTGTTTTTTATCATCTGAAAAGCTCTCTTCTCCTCTGTCCCAGCCCTCGAGACTCACCCCAACACAAACGTTTTACCCTATGACCCTTTCCCTAGAAATATGAAGATAGTTATTGCGATCCATTTAGCTGACAATTAGTCCTCTACAACATTATCCTGTCCTGTAGCTGACTGAACTGTGTAGACCTGCCTTCTCTCACCCAAACATATGTTCTTTGATGCCTGGGACTTGCAATCACATCTTTCATTTCCTCAACACACACATACTACGTTCATACTCACACTCATGCACACCCCTGCTTCCCCTCCTATGAGTTCCCTGCCTCAGTGATGAGCATGGCCCTTCTCAGCTCCCCTTCATGTCCTTCAGATCACAGCTTAGCCACCACCTCTTCAAAACAGCCTTCCTCCCTCTTCCCTGTCCCCCTCAGCAGCCTGGATCAGGTTTCCCTGCTTGCTCTTTCCAAGGAACCCTGTGTGATCTCTGACATGGGATTTACCACACTGTGCTGTGTGGCTGTCTATTGGTGTCACTCACTAAATGGCTCATCCGGTGATGGAGGGGTGCACATGAAAAGCATTCAATATGTACTTGTTGAATGATTGATCACAGAGAACTGTTGGAAGGAATGATTGGCTGGATGGGTCTGAGAAAACAAAATTGGAAAGGAAAATTTGCTGTAGTGTAACTGTGTCATGCCTCCCAACCCCACCCTGAAGCCACTTGGAAGGTACAAATTGTTCAGAGACATATTTCTCCTGTGATGGGGTGTTGTAGTTTTGACTATATTCTCAGGGGTGTGGCATCTGGGTTCTGATGGGTTTGTGTTTAGTTGTGAGGCTGGGGCTGGGGCATAGGGTTGGAGATGGGCATAGAGCTGGCCTGAGACTATGAGTAGGGTTGGGCATGGGAAGAAGCCAAGGATGAGTCCAAGGCAGAAATCACCATAGGGCTGGGGCTAAGGGATGGTTGACACTGGGAAGATGATGAGGATGGGGCTGGATCTGGGGGTGAGTGTGAGGCTGGACTAGGGTTAGAGAGATGGCTCCAGATAGGGATGTGGCAAGATTGGGATATAGCTAGGGATGGGGCTTCCTCTGTATTAACTCCCTCTCCCTGCAGTATCTGGGGCTCTGAGGATCCTCCCAGAAGTACAGCTGGATGGAGAGCTGGGTGGATCCGTTATCATCGAGTGTCCGCTTTCTGATGTGCACATGAGGATGTATCTGTGCCGGGAGATGGCTACATCTGGAATATGTGCTACTGTGGTGTCCAACAGCTTTGTCAAGGACGAATACAGGAATCGTGTCTCTCTGAAGCCATGCTCAGACAAGAATCTGTTCCTAGTAGAGATAACAGAGCTGACTGAAAGTGATAGTGGAGTCTATGCCTGTGGGTTGGGCAAATTCACAGACCGGGGCAAGACCCAGAAAGTCACCCTGAATGTACACAATGGTAGGTGCCCTTACTGTCTTCTACCTTGGCTGAGTCAGCTTCTACTTAGACCCACAATCCCTTCCCCAGGCCTCGATTTACCCGCCACTAGAGACCACTATCATATTTCTCTTGCCTCCAATAGAATATGAGCCATTCTGGGAAGAGGAGCCGATACCTGAGCCTCCAAAATTGTTTCACAAATTTCTGCACCTGCAGGTGCCCACCTGGTTCCAGACGGTTGCACAAACCAATTCTGAAATCATATCCAAAGGTCAGTCCACCAAAGCAAGAGAGGAAGAGAAAGGGGAGATGCTGTGGTACTGTGAAAATGGGGAAGGGCTTTGTGTACTGCTCAGAGTGGCTACAGAGCGGAGCTGAATCTCAGTTTTTCCTGTCTTACGAGAGTGTTACCTCCCTGGGATCCACCTTCCACATCCTTCAAGCCAGGAAACTCCATCCCAATTGCAGAACTTACACATCGCCACCAGGTGGCACCACAAGTAATGAAGTCTGTTTTCCATTCACAAAATCTAAGTCTTTTTATGAATGACTGCTGAAACCAAGACTGGGCAGACATTTCCTAGCTGGAGGTCATCATGCTTCCTGCTGTACACAGGGCTGTCCTCTACCTACAGTTAGTGATTTTTGACAACTTTATCATGCAATTATTCGTATGATAAATGATTATCATACAAACAATAACCTTATATTTCAGTATCATTTTCCAATTCTAAGTGCATTTTGACATACAATATTTCCATAATATCTTCATATTTACTCTATGAGGTAGATACATTAATTGAACATTATTACACCAGGGGACCTTGGTGGGTGCTGAGAGGAATTGTATAACTAGACAGGTAATAGAGCCATGGTTGTGACTGAGCAGGATGGGCGAATGGATAAGCACACAAACATAGCACAAGGCAGAGTGAGAACAGAACTACAAACGGGGTTTTCTCCACTGCTCAGAGAAAGGCAAGCTCTTCTCCCTGGGAAGCCAAGGGAGGCTTCCTGGAGGAAATGGTTTTTGAAACAAATGGTGTGCTGTGAAGGCATTTCAGGCTATGAAGACTGCAAGAACAAAGGCAGTCTGGGTAAAAGGGAAGGGTTTCTTGAGGAAAGACGTGGTAATCCAATCCCACTGGCGCCTAAAGACAGTATATAGGGAAGGTCACTTTTTCCTGCCATCTCCTGCAGTTACTACGCCAACTCAAAAGATTGAGGGTCTTACGGTTCACCATTCTGCCCCCACCACTCCAGTAACCCATCATCCTCAAGTTTCCACAGCATCTTCGGTAGCAGCTGTCAAGCCCCCAACCCTTCTGCCATCCACCACGGCCTCAAAGACCTCAGCACAGGAAGGGATGCTCAGGCCCCAGGGGGCCAGCTACAACCACCAAACCAGGCTGCACAGAGAGAGGTAAGAGCTCTACCACTCCCTAGGCTAGAACCCAACAAAGTAGGCAAGGGGTAAGAGAGCCCCTGAAACCATCCTGCAATGTCCACTGTTAGAGAACCTTCTTGGTTTTGTCTCCAGAAGGCCACTGTGAAATCTACTACCTATGATTATATCACATTAACTCATTAGTCCCGTTAACAAGAATATCCTTGTTAATTGATCTTGTAGAAACAGGTGAGACTTCTTCACTCAGATTCATTCAAATCTGTTTTGGTGGGGAAGAACTAAGTGAGAATAAAGTTAAAATTGATTACGAGACTACTGAGTGTTAAAATTACTTAAGTCTTTCTCCTGTTTTAAAAATAATGTGGCTACCAGGTAAGTTAAAATTACACGTGTGACATATATTGCTATTGAATAACACAGACCTAAAGGTTGGACTGCAGTGAACTGCTAGGTAGCAGTATTATAGCAGATGCCAAAGAAAATCTGTAATAATTGGAATTATTTTTGCCTAAGCAAACACAAAGGTGTTAGTGAGGAAAGGGACCTCCAACATCATTTGGATTTGATGAATGGGGAATGTAAGGCCATGAGAGTGAAATGGTTTCAAATGGAACCAGGACTCCTGGTTCTTATTTGGATAAGTCACACCAACACACCAGTGGAGAAGAAAGCAAGCTAGAGTAATCAACCTTTTCTTAGTGTCAACTGTATGCCTGGCACTGTGCTATGTTCCTAACATGACTTTATAAATGGAAGCATGTAATATCCATGTCTTCCTGATAGAAGTCCGATTTTGAATAGGCATGAAAAAAATTGAATCTGGCTTACCACAATTGGGGAAGAAAAAGGATCTTACACACAATCCCTTTTAGGACGGTAAGATTTCAATACGTAGGGAGGGAGACCTTCTACACAGAAGAAGCACTCTGAGAAAAGTCTTCTTTTCCACAATTGTAAGAAAGTAACTCATTTAATCTTTGCAACGATCGTGTGAATAAATCACAGTACAGAATGTTGGAAGGGGGACTGGCATTTACTGAACCCTGCAAAAGGCCAGAGGCATTAAATTCTTGATGTCCACTATTTTGTTTCACCATCATAACAGTTAATGAAACAGGATTTATTATACCCATTTATGGGGAAATAAGGCTCACAGAAATTAGCAGAGTTGCTTAAGATCATGCAGCCAGTTGAAGGCAGAACCTGAATTTGAACCCTAGTCTCCTGACTCCATAGACAAGTACCTTTGGGGGGGGGTGGAAAGTATTTTGTTAACAAAGGGACAAGTCTGTAAGTCATCTCCAAACAAGTTGGCCACCTAAAACCTTTAGCCCTTGCTAACATCTTCCTCCTTTCTCTCCTTTCCCTCCCTACCCAGAGCATTCAACCATGGCTCACAGTCAGAGAGGCCAGACCAAGGATTTCATATCTTGATACCGACCACACTGGGCCTTTTTCTGTTGGCCCTTCTGGGGCTGGTGGCAAAAAGAGCCATTCAAAGGAGGAAAGGTGAGCAGCTGCACTCAGGGCTGCAGGCTGAGGCTTGGGTAGGAGAACTGAGATGCCAAAGAACCCAGAGCATACAGCCAGGGCTTGGACTTCTAGGGGAAATCTAGGGAGATTTCAATGAGCGGCGTGGGAAACTATGGTGGTGTGGTGGTGGGGGTGGTCCATGGCCTGGAAAGGGGATGTGCAGGAGAGCGCCGGGCCCTTCGATCTTCAGTGGAGAGTAAGGCTGGGCCTTCTATGATCTGCACCCTTTGAGCACCTACACGTCAGCCATCACCAAGCTTCAGGGAGGGTGGGGATGGTGGTCACAGCGCTGATGCCATTTTCTTCTCGCTTTCCCGGTGACTGCCGAGAAGCCAGCTCCAGGCGGGTCCGCCGACTGGCGGTGAGGATGAGTAACCTGGAGGCCTCCCACCAGCCCCAATCACAGCGACCCCGCGCGTCGCACCGACCGCGCTCCCAGAGCAATGTCTACAGCGCCTGTCCCCGGCGCGCTCGGATGCCGGACCCCACGGGTGAGCCCACGCGGGCGGCTGCGGAGGGCTCCCCGCGCGCTCCTCCTTCCCTGGGCTGGGGGCGGGGCTTGAGCCTTGGCCATCATCTCCGCCTTTTGCTCCTCTTTAGGGCAGAGGGCGGCTTCTCTTCCGGATCCCCCAGCAGCGGCGCGCCCCGCCCCGCAGCAGGTAAGCTCCTCCCCCTCCCCTGATTGGCAGCCGAGCGCAGTTCCCTGAGCTGCGGCCGGGCTGCAGGTCGCCAGCTTTGCTCTCCCGTCGCAATTGGGGCGGGCATTGTATCTTTCCCTCCTTTGATGGTGTCAGATTCTGACTGCCCCAGAAATCGTGGTAGCCTTAGCCACCTGGCTTTAGCCAGGCCCTTCGCAAGGAATACATAGGTGCTGGATGCCTGTACCTTGGTAAAGAATGATAGGTGGTGAAGGGATTTCTGAGAGGTTCAAAGGGGGTGGAAGCTACCCGGTCACTTCCCCCTTAATGTGAAGAAGAACTTTGTAGTAAACCTTCTCAAGAGAAGAGGAAGGACGGGACAGGTAGGCTTGACCTTTAGCGTGACTGCGCATGGAAGCTGCGAGGGACAGGAACTAAACCTAGGAATGGACGTAGGCAACTCAATTTTCCTTCCAGTAAAATGCCTTTAAACTCTCCATTCCTTTTTGTTTTCCCGAATTAAGAAAAAAAAATTCTCTAAAGTATTCACAGTGACTAAATCACCGGTTTCAGCACCCAGAAGAAGAAGGAAAAAAAAAACCTAAGGGAGATAAATAAGTGTTTTTAAAATGGTTTTGTTATGTTTTTGAATTAGCATACATTAGGGGATTTGTTGTGATAATTCCATACAAGTATACAGTGTACTTTGAACAAGTTCACCCCATCCATTATATCCCACCCCCCTTTCTACTCCCCCTCTCAAACAGTGTTTGGCGGAGTTCATTATGGTGTCTTCGTATATAAATTTATGCAGCAGACGTCAGTCCTCTTCACCCTTCGATATCCTTTCCTTTCCCCCCATCGTTGATTTCCCCCCACTCCACCTCCTTTCACATTCATGTCCATCACCATCACTAACACTTTAGGTCTAAGTTCCACAAATGAGTGATATTTAGCTTGCTCATCTCACTCATCTTGATGATCTCCAGTTCCATCCATTTTCTGCAAATGACAGAATTTCATTTTTTTCTTTCTGGCTGAGTAATATTCCATGTTGTGTATATATGTGCCACATTTTCTTTGGCCATTCATCATTTGTTGAGCACCTCGACTGAATACACAGCTTAGCTATTGTGAACAGAGCTAAAATAAATATGGATATAATGATATCTCTCTGGAAATATGCATTTTAATTAGAGTGTAGATTGAGCTCATGCAATAGATTGCAAAACATAAGGCTCAGGAAATGCAGGTCAATCAATTTTCCTCCCAAGTGAAGGCTCAGAGGCAGAGAGACGGAAAAAGGTGGCCAAGGTCAGGAGATCATCCGGGGACCTTTTACTGCACCATCCCCTGGAGTTTTGCCAGGTCCATGGTCAATATTCATCCATCACCACCAAGTTCACAGGAAAGAAGAAAGAGAAAGCTACCTCTTTAAGACCACGACCTTGAAGTTCCACACATCACTTCCACTTGCATTCCACTGGCTCTAACATTGCCATGCAGCCACCTGTCTTAGGGAAGAGCATACCCAACTCTGCCACAATCACCTCCAACCTCTTAAGCTTGCTATTCCCCACCCCTGCTGGAGAACAGCCCAGCAGTGCCAGTCTCCTCTGCCCAACCAGGCTTTTCCTCTGAAGCTGACTGGCCACCACACAAACCCTCTCCGGTACAGTGCCTTGCTCAAAATTTGTCCTGTCTTCCTACTTGAGACCCGTATTCTCTCCATCAGGGCCAAAAAGCTTAACAGAACAAATTTACAAGGAACACATACTTACAGTTGGTTATTGTAGCCTTCACAGGGAATGTTTTCATTTTTTTAAAACAAATAAATTAATCTCAGCTGATGAACTCTGACAGGCAGTAGTAGGTATATTTTTGAAGCAAGCTGCTGCTGCTTCCCCCATTCATAAAGTACATGATGTAAAAGTTCCCTTCACTGAGTTCTTACTGAGGTCTACTGTGTCCAGGGTACTGGATTTCTAGTTCTTATAACTTCCATTTAAATAAGTGATCATGGTCCCACTGTGGCATTCTTAGGTGGATATTACAGTAATTGTGCCCTGTTGGCATCCTTGGCACAGCCCTGTCCTCTGAGAACTAGCCATTCTGAAGGTGGATGATCCTGAAGTTTCTGTCTAGGAAAGAGAAGTCACAGTGGCCTTGTGGTCTAAAATCCTCCCCTTCACTGCCCAGCCTCTTTGTGGAATGTACGTCATGCCGTGTCACAGCCTCTCCAAACCCTTACCAAGGTCCAAGGTGACTCACCCACCTCTGAATAATTCCTTAAGAAGTTGCATATTTATTCTACAAGTCACATCATCTTATCCTGAGGCTATGCTCCTCTGAAGCTGAGTCTCCTTCAGACCATGCTTAGACACATGATCCCAGTCTGAGCTCCACTTTAGGCATTTCCTGCCCACATTAGAGCTAAGTGTTTTCTACTTATCTGGGGAGAGACACCACCCTGAAAATCCCCAGGGCTGGCCCCCTCAATGATGCTCAGTCACTTCTGCATCTTTGCCTTCTAGAATTTAGCAACCATGTCATGCCCCCCATTTCCTGCTGTGAAAACCCACCTGGAGAGGTTCTAAAGTCACCTACCCTCATCCAGTGATGCTTCTTTGGTTGTCCACAGATATCTGAATCCCCCTGGTTCCATGACCAATATTTGAAGACTAGCTGTGAATATGTGACCTTGTGCCACCAGCCTGCTGCCAAGATGGAGGACACTGATTCAAATGATTACATCAATATTCCCAGCCTGACTCACCTTCCCAGCTGTCCCCGGGGGCCCAGACCTTGGTGTCAATGAGTCTTATCTATCTGCTGATTTCTAATATCACCTCCAGGGGAAGTGAGCCTTCATCACTTCCCATCCCCAAGTCAACTCTTAGCTGTCTCTCTGTGCCCTGACTCTCCCTCCAGCTTATCTTGTGGCTCCAGACATGCAGATCACTTGTCTGGGTGCCACTGACTTCCTTTCTGTGCCATTGAACAGGCTGTGGAATTTGCAGGGTGTTTCATCAGTGTCTTTGGTCACTGGGTGGTTGCTGTCCTGGCTCTAGTGTGCCTGGTGTCAGGCTGGAGCGTAGGAATGGCTGCCACTTCAGAAGCTTTGGTCTCAAACAAACAGAAGGCCTTTGGGCTGCATCATGAGGTTATCCCTTGGCCCCAGGAGCTAGGAAGGGATTTGAAAATACCCCTGGGAATGTCTTTGCCCTGATCCAAAAGGTGGAGCTTGCCAGTGAGCTCTACTTATCTTGAGCCCTGTGGTAAGGATGATTTATTTTTATGCAATGATGTCTTCTAAAATTTCAGAATCCAGCTTGTTAATGATATATATGTACATATCTATCTATCTATCTATATGCATAAATCCTCTTTATGTCTCCCTCATGTGCTACAGACAAGTATTCTGACCCAGCATCTCCCTCTTTTAGAAATAGTCTTTATCTCCTTATCCTTCTCCCATATCCTAGCACAGATATTTGCATATGTGTTAACTTTGTTCTGTTTTAGCCATTCCAAACCATTACAACTCTCCGATTTTAGAAATGCATCTCATCTCTTTGCCAATTCCAGACAATACATAGCAAGGTATGGAAGGAAAGCAGTGTGGGGTTCCTCTAGGCTTTCCAATAGCATTTCTGTCATGGAAGAAGAGCCATCCTGCCTTCTACATGTACTCCTTCTCTGAGGTTTTGGAGCAATGTCATAGTTGGACATTATCTTTGGATTGATGTCAACTAAAAGTCAGCCAGCGCTTGAGACTAGAGAGTGCCTATTCTTGCCATTAGGATGAAGGCCTTTTCAGATACACAGTCCACTTTCCTCTACTTTTGTCTAGAAATAGAAAGGAAAGGCTGCCAAGCCTGAATTGAATTGCCTTTTATTAGGAAGGAATGTCATCACAGATTGACATCACAGGTACACTGTGACAGGAATGTCATCACAGGTACACTGTCACCATCACGAGTGTCAGCTTGAGAGTGATGCCCTTTCAAATAGCAGATAGAGGAAGAATGACTAGGATAAGGAAAGTAGGGCACCCAAGGAGAAGGGGTAGGAATGGGGTCAGAGTGCAGGCAAGAAATGAAATGTTAGTGAGAATGCTTTGTGTTGGCACTTTAATCGACCTGTTATCTTTTATCATTTGCTTTCCAAACTGATGTCCCTTGTCCCACCCCAATGCTTTGCCCTTGCGTGAGATTTCCATGCAAACCTCAATTTCGTATCCCAGCATCCACCATTGTTCTTCAACAATTCAACAGCAGGCAAAGTGCTGGCGAGTGGCTCAATCAGTAAGAGTGCCTGCCTAGCAAGCATAAGACCCTGAGCTCAAACACCAGTACCTCCATAAAAAAAATTCACCCAAAGGTAGACAAAAAACCACTTTATTAAATATTTACTGAGCACCCATCCACTGTTCCACACTGTTGCAGGGACCATGGGAGGTTACAAAAACAAAACAAAACAAGAAAGCACGGGCACTACACTCTGCTGCCTTCAAGAATGTACAGTCTCACAAATAAATATAAGTTCAGTTGAAAAACTGAACATATTAAATAGAATTGTAATAAATACAGGAATCCGCTTCATGAGTTATTCACAGCATCCAAAGGCGCCTTCCATGACTGTTGTTCAGGCTGCTGCACAGTGAAGTCTGTAAAGATAAGCCTGGGCCACTAATGAGTCCATGGCCAGGGGTGTGAAGTACCCAGAGAACAGCACGGGAAGGGACAATGTTTTGAAATGACACAGGGAATGAGCGAGGAGGGTACCCTGGACTAGGCATTCAGAGTTGGTAGAATTTCTCCATCCAGGTCAGGAGAATGTCCACTTCCCCAAATGCTTTGGTCAGTGCTGCTTCTATGTCCAACTATAGGGAATAGAGAGAGTTGAAGGTTAGCTGTGTTAGCTATGAGAGTAGTTTTCTGTCTGACCTGCCATGCTTGAAACAGGCCTGACCCCAAATCATGGGCAGGATCCCCTATGGAGTGGCCCATAGCCTTTCTGCCCTCTATGTGTGTTGGCTTCGGGAGTGAGGACAAAGAAGCCACTGAGTAGCAATGGGTAAGAGTCAGGGAAAGGCATATGATGCCCCTAACAAGAACCATGGAAGGCAGCTGGGGGTACTCGTGGCCCCCACCTGAGTTCATGTGCTAATGAGGAAACAGGCCCAAATCCATCATAGGGTTTTGCTCTTCACCATTTATTTATAGGCTGATGTATCTGTTCCTCTAAAACGTGATCAAAATCATATAAGGCTTTTTATTTGAGGCATGGGGAAGTGCTGGGGATAAAATTTGGATTTTCTTTGGTGTCTTAATTTAAGAGGAGATAATTTCCCCTAATTTTCATTCACAAATGAAACCACTTGGACATTATGGAACATAGTCAGATGTGGTGAGGTGGGCATGGGGTGTCTCCCTTCTCTCACTTCTGATTTCAACTGCCTAGCTCAAGTATACAGAAAACTCTCACAAGGAAAATCTCCAAAAGTAGTTGAAAACTTCATTTGTGATGCTTATGCAAAGTGTATGCTAATTGATGCAAATATACCTATGCTCTTGTAAATCAGTTGGGTTCGGGGGTCAGACTCCTGTTGGAGTCACCTACATTAAATTCTGCATTAGGCCTCTGAGGCGCCCTCTTGTGACAGTTTGAGCTAGTCTGCTTCTATTGAAGGGACAAGCACCCAGCTCCTGGTCTGACCTGTTTGAATGCTCCCCGGAACAGCAGAAACCGTCTGTGTGCACTCTCACTGATGGAAAATGTCTCATTTTCCTCTGGATAACAGAAAAAAAAGGTGCCAAGAGTTAGGTAGGAGCTTCTTCCCATTTTGGGGGGGCCAGGGGGCTCTCAATGCCTGAGAGGACAAAGTTGAGTCCAACATCTCAAAGAAGTCAATGCCAGACTACAACCACATAGCAAGGGTTGCCTCCTTTCATTCTCACAGCAGTCCCTCCAGGTAGGCGTGTCACCCTCTTTTTACAGATGACAAAACTGAAACCCAGAGAGGTTGGGCATCTTGCAAAATATCACCAGATCTAGACCCAGATCTGAACATGAACTCTTTTTCTGTAACACCCCCCACTCCTTGTTGTGGACTAGAAGCCAGGACCACCAGCTAAGAGGAGGGGATATTCTCAAGCATGCAGTTTCCCAAGCTCCTGGTCCCAGCTCTGTTCTACTCACACTGGGTTGTAGTTTTGACATGATAGCCAAAAAGTTGTTGGCCAGAGTAGAGAATGACTTCAGGATCTTGAATTCCACAATTTTCTTGTGGTAGTTTTTGAAAACAGTGTTCAAGTAGAATTTCAGCAGGGCATGGATAAGGTAACAGCTCTCAGTGTCCTGGGGAAGAGCTAGGTCACTGCGGAGCCCAGACCTCTGCCCACCCTGGCCCTTAGAGCTTCCCATCTAGCCAATGTTCCCTTTCTTCTATGCCACACAGTCTCTCTAACATGATGGGCCCTAGAAAGTTCTTGATTTGGACTTTGTGGTTAACACTTGGCAGGAAAATGACTGGGAAGAGAAGAAAGGAGAAATGTAACATCCTTGAACACAGCAATTGCACCCTAGCCTTCTTGACTCCTGAGACTCAGTCCCTCTCAGGGGTCAGTCCTCAGTATATTTGTGCAAACTGGTAGCTCCAGACACAGACCACCTTTGCCCCTGTCCTGTATAGGGGCAGCCCCAGGCAAAAGGTCATCAGCTCCACTGAAGGAAGCACCCTCCTTCCCACCATCTGATTACCGAGACGTTCTGCAGAACCTCCTGCTTCAGCAGCCGGACACTTGTGACGTTATCCTGAGCTTGCTTTAGGAACAAAAAGAAAAGATGTCTCCAAGTTAGGGGTCCACATGGCAGCCAACACTGCAAATGTGCAGCTTCCTCCGACCCCTAAATCTAACCAGTCTGTGGTTAGATTTAGCCAGAGGGACCAAAGGAGGATCCAAGAGGGGCCATACTGAGGTGGATCCTGGGGAGGGAGGACAGGTCCCCTCTATTAAAAAAAATTAAGTTTGCCCCCTCACTCCCCAGGAGCAAATGGAATCCCAAGGGTTCCAAGAGCCTGAACACAGACTTCATGTTGACATAGGACTTTTGGTTATTAGAGACATGAGGAAATAAGCTTATTTAGTTCAAGAACCATAGGAGGAGGAGGATGGACTGCACTTGAGTGTTGCTTCACCATTGGAGCTCCCTCTGCTACCCTGACACTTATCATGAGCCATCCAGGGTGATGCTGGGGGAATCAAGCTGTCTTCTCTATTTCCCTTGGGCTCTTCTCATTTTCCTGGATGCTGACCACATCTTCCTAAGCCTCAGTTTCCTCATGAGTGACATGGGGCTGGAGATGCCTCCTGACTTCACAGAGTTCTTATATAGGAAGCTGATTAGCAAGCTGTGAAGGGTTCCCTAATCATGGAGCCCCCACCAGGTGACCCCCAAAGCAGAGTGCAGAGTAACTCCCCACTCACCACAGTGTGCTTCATGGCCTGGAAGGCCTCCCATAGTTCAGGGAGAACTACCCCCTCTACTCGGCAGGACCCAAATCGGAATTCGTGGCCCTGGAGCCCTGGCACCTGGCTCCAGACAAGCAGGATCAGACTTAGGAAAGGAAGGGCAGCCGTCTGCAGTCCAGAGCCCATCTGCAGCAAAGGAAGGGGTGGAAAATCTGCTGAAGAAAGAAAGGCCTTTCCCTCAGGCAGGCTTCTGACAAGGAGCACTGTGTCCAGAGCAATGCTTCTGGAGTCTGCCTAGAAGCACACAGATGGGAACCCTGAGACAAGGGTAATGCTATGGTTTGAATGTTGCCACCAAAACTTACATTGAAACTTAATCCCCATTGTGACATATTAAAAGTGGGACCTTTAAGGAGTGATTAGATCATGAGGGCTCTGACCTCACAAAAGGGTTCATTTATGCATGGATTGATGGGTTAAAGGTTTAATAGATTATTTTGAGAGTGGGTCTGTTACAAAAGTCAGTTTAGCTCTGCCTTGTATGTGCCCTGTTGTCATGTGATGTCCTGCACTACCTTGGGACTATGCAGAGTCCATACCAGCAAGGACCATCCCCACCAATGGATGTGGCCACCTGACCTTGAACTTGCCAACCTTCAGAACTGGAGCCAAATATACCTCTTTTTCTTACAAATTACCCAGTGTCAATTATTCTGTTATAATAACAGAAATTGCAAACCTTGGTGTTGCTGGGGATCACTAGGGTGGTATGGGGTCTTTCTGCCCTCAGTCTCATACCTGATATTCTTCCTTTCTCTCCATCATGCCCATCCACCTCCACACACCTGCACCTCCTTCTTTCCCCATTACAGTTCCCCCTAGTCTTCTAGTCAGAATCTGACCACAAAGAGGGAAGAAATGGAAGATTCTAATGTGCCCAGGAACATGTCTTGTGAGCCAAACTTGGGAGAACAGAGTTTACCTAGATAATTGCTTGCCTGGGACTGGCCCTGAGTCATCAGACACACTTGGGCAGGACTATTTCTTCTTTGAGGAAGTGGCTGGCCCTGATTCCTCATTGTAAGGGAGCTGAGGAGTTAACCCAAAGCCACAGGGAGGGGAGCAGAAGGCAGGTCTGGATCACACACTAACTGCCACCTCAGCTGCCCGATTCACTCTTAACTCTAAGAATTGACTCTTCGAGTAACTTCACCAGAGGGAAGAAGCAGAGCTCTAGATGAATCACCTTCAAAACTTCCATTTAAAGCTCCAGTTGGGAATGGGTGACTGTGAAGGACTCTGAGCAGAGGAACGAAGAACTATTACCTATTTATAGTGACTGCATGCAGAGAATTTCTTTCCAGTGCCTCCCTTGCTCTCTGCTTTTCTTCCTTCTTTCCTCCCTTCCTCCTTCTTCCCTCCCTCCCTTTTTCCTTCCACAAACATTCAAGAGCCTTTCCTATTCCAGGCAATGTCATCACACCTGAAGAGATTGGGCAGAAAGACCAGAGAAGTCCTCTTTGGAATGAATGCCAGCACCTGGGATAGGCCTGTGTGTCAGCATCTTTTTCAAAGTCGTTCCACTCTGTTCTTTCAAATTCTACAAGCTTTGGAGCCTCCTTTGAAAATTCATCTCAGAATCTCATAATCCTCCTGGCCTTCCTCCCATGCAACCTAAATTCTTCTTGGGGTTGACTTGAAGAAAGCAGATCCTCATCCAGTCATTCTCATCCTTACATAAACAACTCAAAAAAAATTGACTTCTGCCATCCACCCTCAACCCCCCTGTTTCCAAACAAGGCAGTAGTCTAATGCTTCCAGGGGTGTGCAGGCATTCCCCAGCCTCACCTTGGGTCCTGTGAGGGGTGCTGGACAGCTGACTGTTTGGAGGCGGCTGTTTTTCTTTATAGTAGCAGAAGGTTGCGCAGGTTCTCTCACCATTCACTGATAGAGATTACCTGTGGGTAATCTCCTGCCTCAGCTGTGGAAGTTATTTCCAAAGTCAAGGTGCACAGGTAAGCAAGACTTTGTGGAGATTTTGTATATAAGGGGGCTGGAGGAGGGGCAGAGGAAGAAGAGGGAGGTGGAGAAAGGGAAATTGGTCATGCTTCCCTAGAGAATTACTTCACTGCCTAGTCACCCTTCTCTCTAAGACAATGGAGCAATGCAGAAAGCAGCCCCTGAGGTCAGGTGAGGCCATCAAGGGCAAGTCTCCTAGCTTCTCTGGGCTGCAGTTTCTACATCTATAAAATTAAAGAAAAAAAATCTGTCCTATTCCACTAGAGGAGCAAAGGCAAAAGTGACACAGGTGCTTTGTAAATTCTGTACACACATAAACACACTAGTACTGTGCAGAGTATACCTTATTGTCAAAATAATTCAATAATTATGCCCTATTTGTGAAGGGACAGTAGCCCAGAGGCTAAGGATAGCCATAATTACCTCTCCTTTAATCCATCGGGGCCAGGAATTTTAGAAGTCTTTCCTGGCCTGCAGCTGCCCTTGGTCCCTCAGTTTATAATTACTCAACCAAAATATATTTCTCTTTAGGTTCTAATAACCAGGAAGAATAAGGAGGCATGTGCAATGACAGGCCGGAAACACTGGGGTCCCTGATGCCCTGGCAGGCTAGCCAGGGCCTGTGTTGCCCTGCCTGGGATCACTCAGGGGACACAAGCAGTGTGGCATGTTGGGATTGCCAGTGTAGTCAAGAGACCTGACCATATATCCAGCTAGCGAGGCATTCAGGCTTCAGGTTCACCAAGTGTCCAATGAGGGCACAGATTGGAGCAGTGTTTCCCAAAGGGCATTCCATGGAACCTCAGCTTGAGAAAGCTTGGCTTGCATGACACACAGGAAACAAGAACACTCTAGGTCAATTAGAGAAGCCTAGCATGTGCTAGCCCCTCCTGGGAACAAATCACACTCCCTAGATTAGTAAAGACTTTGAGAAGGCCAGTGGAGTGGGGGGTTTGATGAACTTTTTAACTCAACTTTTCCTCTGACTATTTGACACACCCCTGAGGAGCACAATTTGAGAAATGCTGGACTCTGAACAAGGGGTTGGCAATCTCCAGGCCATAGACCAAACCCAGCCTTCTACTGCTAAGATACAAATAGCTCAGCCCTGTGGTCTAAGAAAAGGTTTTACATGTTTTTTTAATGACTGGGGGAAAATTATTTTTAAAAGGACAATGTTTTGTGACAGTTCAGTAGAAAAGAAAGGACAGGATACACTGGGCATAGGCCCTTTGCAGAGTCTGCCCATGCTCCCTGGCACTAGCACAGAGAGCATGGCACATACTGTTTTCTGTTTTCTTAAGCAAACAAAACACTCTACACAGTCCCCAGGCACCAGCCTGCAGTACTAATACTGTCACCAGTTTGTTACCTGTTTCTAGGGGCAGAGGTCCCATCATATGCTTCTTTTCCTTTCAAGATCTAAGACATTCCTAAAAATTCCTTCCTACTATGGAAGAAAATGCCAAGAGGCAAAGATGAGACAGCAGAAGACCAGGAAAAGTGTGAGACAACAGACAGAGGAAGGCAGGAAGGATTTAGACAGTTAGGGCAGGAAGCTGAGAGAAAGGGAGCCTCAGGGCAGCTGCAATCCTATCTGCTACTGGCAGGTGAGGAGGGCAAGGAAGATGAGCTGGTACAGGGGCAGGCTGGAACAGAGGCAAAAGGTAATCAATTCACTTGGGAAGGATGTAAAATACCACCTAGTTCTGTCTAAGGAAGAGATAATATAACACAGACAGTCTAGGCCAATGGGGACCCAGGCCTTGCCCTTAGAGGAGCCTGTCATAGCACCATTACCTGAGAAGGGAAGACAAGGAGAGAACACAGGGACCTTGGCCCAACATCCACTGATACTACTGGCTATGAGCACAGGCTCTGAGGACAGCAGACTTGGGTTCCCAGCATGAGTGAGCATCTTAGAAGCATCCCTCAGCCTTCACTTCCTCATCTGTAAAACAGAGTCTTCACAGGGCCATGGGGATACAGTGACATACAGCCTTTCTCTCCAAGTATGGTCCATGAACTACAGCAGCAATGCCTATTCTTAGAAATATAGAATTCCAAGCCCTTCCCAAGCCTACTGATTCATAAACTGCATTTTAAGAAACTCCCAAGGTGATTGCCATGTGTGTTACATTTTGAGAAGCAACTACATAAAGCACGTGAAGGGCTTCACCTAGTGCCCTCCACAGGGTGAATGCTTAGTGCATGGGAGCCCCGAGCAAAGGGAGAAGACAAGAGTAGGGATTCTCAGTGATCTTGCCCCCAGTCTACAATGTCTGTACACATTTTTAGTTGTCATACTGGGTGGCCCTACTGACATGTAGTGGAATGGGCCAGGGATGCTGATAGATATCCTACAGGCCAGCCCCTCCCCATGAAGACTTATGTGACCCAGGATGTCAACAGTGCTGAGGTTAAGAATCCCTGGACTACAGGGAAGTAGTGGACAGAGCTGGATGAGAAACAGAAAAATGAGAAGGTAACTCATACTGGAGGGGAGGCAGTTCCCAAAGTCATCTGTAGGGAATATATGATTCACATGGGTAAGGCCTGGTTCATTGGCTCCATCCTGGACCAGACTAAGACCTGAGGCTCTTCTAACCCCCATGAAAGGATGGAACTTGGGGAGTTTCCTTTACAAAAATATTGATGAAAGAAAAGTTCATCTGAGAATAAACCTTCACATGCAGGACTTGTTTTATCCAAAGTACTCATTAGATTTAGAGCTTTTATTCTGGAAATTGATGTAAATGCTAGGCAGAGAGTTAGGAAACCTGATGACTGAGAACCATGGTTTGGATGTTGATAAGGAATCACATAGACTGCTGACATTAACAAAATAGTTTGTGACATACAGCAGGGTCTTGGGAACTCACAGCTTCTGGACACACAGTAACAACCCCAGTCTGACCGGCAAGGCCACCCCCACAACCTGATTCACAGAAGGAGGTGATGATTAGTCTCTGAGAGTTAATGACACATAATCCAGTTTTTTAGGACTGACCACCCCATCTCTATAGATCCCAATAAAAGCTTAAGATCTTGGGACCCCCAGCACAACACTCCTTCTTGAGTCTGTCCACCTTTCTGCTTTTGCTGTTCTTTGTATTAATAATCCTCGTACTTCTCCTTACTCATCTTGGAAAATTCTTTTACTGACCGTGGCTCCAAAACCCACACAGTAATTCTATGCTACCTTAGTCCTGCAGACCTGAATTTTACATCTAGAAAATGAATCTACTTGTACTCCATATAAGCCCCAAATTTCTCTAAACCTAGAGACAGAGGAAGGAACTGAACCACCATGGAATAGAGTCCCTGC